CCGCCGAAATATCGGGTAAGTGTAGACATACCCTAAGGAGATTGCTTGTGAGACTTGCAGTTAGCCAGTGGGGTGAGACTGAAGTCCTCTCAGTCTGGCTGGTTTGGTTTGCCTTAGAGGTGGAAAAAACCCCAGCCTTGGGCTGTAACTGCCCTATTTGAGCAATTTGTCCTGAGTTGGCACTCTCAGTTGGGTTCCGCCAGAACCGCATTGTCACACAGGTGCAGAGAGCTTCCTCAAGGAGCCAGGGCTCAGCACCCGTAAGTTCCCCTTTTATAGGGCGAGTGATGTCTGGAGCTCTGAGCAGAGGGGTACGGAGTCAGGCTGTTCACATTCCATTCCTGCCTCTGCCACTGACCTGCCGTGTGACCCCAGCTAAGTCACCTCCCCGCTCCGTGCCACAGCAACAAAATGGAGATGAGACCATGGTATTTCCCAGGGGGTTGTGGAGGCCTCACTAGTTAATGTGTGGATAGAAAGCTGGCTAGATCATCTGGCTCAACGGGTAGTGATCAATGGCTCCATGTCTAGTTGGCAGCCGGTATCAAGCGGAGTGCCCCAAGGGTCGGTCCTGGGGCCGGTTTTGTTCACTATCTTCATTAATAATCTGGAGGATGGCATGGACTGCACCCTCAGCAAGTTTGCAGATGACACTAAACTGGGAGGAGTGGTAGATACGCTGGAGGGTAGGGATAGGATACAGAGGGACCTAGACAAATTGGAGGATTGGGCCAAAAGAAACCTGATGAAGTTCAACAAGGACAAGTGCAGAGTCCTGCACTTAGGACGGAAGAATCCCATGCACTGCTACAGACTAGGGACCAAATGGCTAGGCAGCAGTTCTGCAGAAAAGGACCTAGGGATTACAGTGGACGAGAAGCTGGATATGAGTCGACAGTGTGCCCTTGTTGCCAAGAAGGCTAACGGCATTTTGGGCTGTATAAGTAGGGGCATTGCCAGCAGATCGAGGGACGTGATCGTTCCTCTCTATTTGACATTGGTGAGGCCTCATCTGGAGTACTGTGTCCAGTTTTGGGCCCCACACTACAAGAAGGATGTGGAAAAATTGGAAATAATCCAGCGGAGGGCAACAAAAATGATTAGGGGGCTGGAGCACATGACTTACGAGGAGAGGTTGAGGGAACTGGGATTGTTTAGTCTGCAGAAGAAAAGAGTGAGGGGGGATTTGATAGCTGCTTTCAACTACCTGAAGGGGGGTTCCAAAGAGGATGGATCTAGACTGTTCTCAGTGGTAGCAGATGACAGAACAAGGGGTAATGGTCTCAAGTTGCAGTGGGGGAGGTTTAGGTTGGATATTAGGAAACACTATTTCACTAGGAGGGTGGTGAAGCACTGGAATGGGTTACCTAGGGAGGGGGTGGAATCTCCATCCTTAGAGGTTTTTAAGATCAGGCTTGACAAAGTCCTGGCTGGGATGACTGAGTGGGGATTGGTCCTGCTTTGAGCAGGGGGTTGGACTAGATATCTCCTGAGGTCCCTTCCAACCCTGATATTCTATGATTCTATGTGTGTGAGACAGTTTGCTGGAGCTGTGCTAAGGGGGCAGAGGCTGGTGTGGAAGGTCCGAGGCTCACAGCCTGCTGATGAGCCATGATGGAGGTTGGTACAGAGCCGGGGTTTGCACAAGATTTGAATTCCTGTGGCCCACCCTATGCTACAGCTGAGCTGCCCCTGACAAGGGGAGCATGTAATACACAAGCTAAGGGTGTTGCTGCTGCCTAAACAGTAGTCTACTACTGCTACCAGCCGACTGAACTATTCCTTTAGGTCAAGAGATAGGGGCTTAGTGCAGCAGCTCCTGAATTCTAACCCCACTGATGAACTGTGGTGGGGGTCAATGGGCAAGTATGAAGAATTATTGATTATTAAATTCAAAGCCAAATGCACTGCAGGCCCCACAAGAGAAAGGCTGGCCCAGTGGTTAGGCCACCGGTCTAGGACTGGGGAGACCCGGGAACAAGTCCCTGCTCGGCCGTAGACTCCCTGTGTGACCTTGGGGGAGTCACTCAGTCTCTCTGTGCCTCGGTTTCCCCATCTGTACATTGGTGATAACAGCCCTGCCCTGCCTCACAGGGGGGTGGGGAGGATAAAGATTGTGAGGTGCTTCGATACCATGGTGATGGGTGCCTGGGATGGGGTGTGCACCCCACACCAGCCCTGACAGAGTTAGCAAGGGCCTTAGAAACCAGTTAGGTTACCCGGCGGCACCTGAGAGAGGGAGGCCAGGGCTAATTGAGAGCAAAACCCGGCTGGGGAAGGGCTGGGCCAGCACCATAAAGCCAAGAGGCTGAAAGCAGAAGGGGCCTGCAGTTGCTCCAAGAGGCCTCCAGGAAGAGGAGGAAATCCAGGGGGAGGGTAAGTCTGGGGATCCTGCCCTGGAGTATGGCATCTGGCCAGCGGCTAAGAGGGGGGAAGTAGTAGCCAAGGGGAGCGGAGGAGGCTCCAGTGGTGAACCCAGAAGCAGGAGAGAGAAGATAGGGAAGGAGCCCAAGGAAACAGGGATGGGGCTAAGGACCTGGATTGCTGGTTACAGGGTCCCTCGGCTGGAACTCATGTAGCGTGCAGGTCGGGGTACCCCTGCCAGCCACTGGTGCAGTGGCACAGAGCCAGAGGGGTTGAACACCGGCTGGCACCAGTATCTGGACAGGGATACGCTCCAACTTTGTAACCCCAGAAGGGGTGGTCTAAGTGGTGGGCCACCCGGAGGGCGAAGTTACCAGCAGAAAGGCTATCACGGAGCAAGCACCAAGCAGCCAGGGGGCACCCGACGTGGCCAGAGCGACACCCCCCAACCTAGACGTGTTGGTGGTGAGTGGCGACCGCATTCCAGTGCCACATAAGGACCGCAAGCAGATAGAACCCTGCCCGCTGCGCTAGGTGCTGTCCGAATCGGCTGGCTTTTCCGCAGGAGCTGAGCAACCCGAGAGACAAGTCCTCGTGACACCAGTGCACAGTGGTGTAAATCTGGATGGTGGCACTGGGCACCCGCTTGGCGCTGGCATAAAGCCCAACTTCTCTGCCCAGAGGATCTTACAGTCTAAGGCCACTTCTGACCTGGAAATCTCGCGTCCCACCCATCTCGGGTGACCAGACAGCAAGTGTGAAAAATCGGGATGGGGGTGGGGGGTAATAGGAGGCTATATAAGAAAAAGACCCAAAAATCGGGACTGTCCCTATAAAATCGGGACATCTGGTCACCCTACCCGTAGAGCCTGAGGCCAGAAGGGACCACCGGATCATCTACCTGACCTCTTGTGTATCCCAGGCAACGAGACCCACCCAGCACCTGCCCACCAAACCCCTCTCCAGCCGTGGCCAGCCCTGGGGCTTCAGAGGAAGGAGACAAAAAAAAACAACCCCAAACCAGAATACACTGAGGGGGAAACTATCCCTTCCTGACCCCTGCAAGCGACCAGCGGAAGCTCTGAAGCATGAGAATCTGCCTAACCCTAAACCTGGGGCAGATTCTTCCTCTCCCCTCTGCCTTTCTTACCGCGTGTCTATGGTATGGCTAAGGCAGGTCTGACCCTGCAATCGGATCAGCCGCTGGGGATGGTGTGACGTTATTGACATAAACTGGGACCGTATAGATCATTGTTGCAACCAAGGTCCTGTAGTGGCGCCCAAATCTTGTATAAAGGGGGTCAAATGGGGTGTCTAGGACAAGGTTATGGTTTACTGGTTATGATTATGCGGTCTGTATGTGTGTATCAGTTTTATGGTCGAAGTTATGAATATTGGCTCTATACTGTCTGTATGGCAAACTTATGCTATGCTTCT